AACATGTCAGTTCCCTTTTTTGAGAAACACTTGATGATATCTTGATGCGTTGGTGGCTGATCTTTAGCAGTGGTGACGCTTAAAGATAGCGTTCCTTAAATGGGAACCGCTGACGTTTGTTGGACGGTCTGGCGGTCACATCTGTTGTTCACTGTGTTTCTTTCTAAGCATATGCCGCTTTGTACAGGCACATTCAACGCACTTTCCTACCACCGCTTGACCACCAAGGGGCCTGCATTCTTCAAAGAGCCTCGAGTCTTCAACCGCGTTGCTTTCGAAGGTTCTTTTTACTGGGGGTCCTCCGGATTCCACTGGCAAGTCAGGGACTCACCGGAAATGAACTGTTCCGCCAATGTCCATGTAGCTCTTAGTCACTGTATCACGTTCCCCGCCACAGCCATTTAACCACGCCCGAGTCGTTTCTTTGGCGGCCCCCGTGAGGAGCTTGTGGTCTTTCCTCACTCAGAGGTCAGCTCTTTGCGCGAAGGCTTCGAAAGGAGAGCTGGGAAAGAAAGGTCTTGTCACCTTGTCCGCCCAGAGATTTCAGGCAACAAAGACGCGTGACCAGTACGGAGTCCCTCTGGGCTTGCTGTCTTTTCATGGGCTGCCTGAGTCACCTGGTATTGTCCGGCTTGGTATGGTGGCTTGCTTTCTGGCGACTTGCTCAACTGTCACGTGGCTGTAGGTCAAAACCAATGGTACCATTTTGGGGTAGGTGCACCACCCATTTTAGTCAATTTTAATGGGGATTGGGATGTTCACTGGAAATACGATTTGGATTTTGACCCATGGCCATGTGTGCATCTTTCAGGCTAAGCAGCAGTCAACAGTCAATAGTCTCGCTTGGTTTGACTCGCAATTGACACAACTGACCTTGCCATTTTGCCCTTGGAGTATGCTTCATTGTGCCTTTCCTAAAAAGTCGACATGGGTGTGCCTTTTTGAGGGTACCCCGAAAATGGTGTTCTGCCTGCGGCTTGCCCTCCAAACCAGCCAAAGAAAGACACACCCACGTGTTTCAGTGGGTCACCTCGGTCAAGAGGAGGTCACACCTTCAGAGAAGTCTAGTCCGCGGCTATCAGCCAGTTCCCTTTGGTGGGTTCCCACTAAAATTGAGCAACCCCAGCGGCCCAGCCAGAGTAGAATCTGTAAGAAGATTTTGTTTAAGACACGAATGTTAAGATTGACTTTAGTAGTGAGCCGTTTCTGATTAAAGACGCCCTTTGTTTTCCCAGCCGCTGCAAGCAACAAAAACTACTTTAAAGGCGCACGCAAGGTTTGGCCAAGGCACCTTCTTCATGTTTTGAGGGCACCTCCCAACCCTCTCTGATTCAAGACGCTCCGGTCCGGCCCAATGCCCAATACCAACTTCAAGGGTTGTCATTCCAAGAGAAAAACAACAACGGCTAGCCGGAAACAACAAATGTCTTATTACAATGTGTTAAAAAAAGCTCGTAAAGGGTACCCCCCGTCAAGACTAGCCCCCCGCCCCCCGAATAATACAAAACCCCTCTGATTAATCACTTAGTCCCTCTCCAGCCCTGGCAAAAAAGAGCATGCCATGTCCTTTTCTTTTCTATTGCAGTCCTATTGACCAGACAAGGACCGGAGACTGGCCACCTCCGGAATCTGAGGGAGCCCCAGGCGACCCGCAGGTTCTCCCAAACCTTGTCAACCTTGGGGGGGGGGGGGGGGAAAGGCGGGGGGAGAGGGTTTACAGATTCAAGTTCCTAACAGCACATGGACAAGACCCTCCCGTTAGACTAACATGGCACCTAACAGGGGGTCCCTCCAAGAGGAAACTGATCTTCCAAGTGCCCTTTTCACAGGTGCCACGTTAGTGGGAGGAAAGGAAACGGGCCCCAACCAATAAGAAGCCATAACATTATGTTGGTTATGTTGTCCTTTTTTGAGACCTTTCAAAAATCAATCCAAGAACATGTGCCAGTGTTCACAATCCATCACCTTCAGGGTTGTGGGATCACTCGGGGTTTATCCAACCACTTTCGTGATACTTTTTGGAATCTCCCCCTTATGGGGTGGAAACTGTCTTTGGGGTTCGGCCCTTTTTGTTGTATCACAGAAGTGGATTCCATTTCCCACAGCCCTTTTTTGAGGGACCCCCCCAAAAACGGGCTGCTTTTAAAAACCGGGTGCATTTCTGCCATTTCAACCGCAGCCCTGATCACCTTTTGCTCCCAAAGTCGCTGCCCCTTGAAACTTCCTGGAGGAGTTCCGCCGCTGCGGCAGGGGCTGCGGCCTCAAAGACGGCGTCGATTTGCGCGGGGCGATCTTGAGCGGGTCGCCTGTGAAAGGTTGAGAAAACGGGCAGGTGAAAAGGGGACTCACCATGCTTGGGCACCTTGTTTTCATTGGGCAAATGAGAAGGAGACCCAGCTGTTTTTGGGGTCTGGTTTTTTGAAATGCCCATGTTGTTCTCGGCCCCACTTCTCAGCCTTTCTCCCCAGCGGCTTCCATGTTCAGCGAATCGAAAGCGGCGGATTGATCTCAGCGTCCCTCGTTGCTGGAGCCGAGTTTCGGTGCTTTGGTCTTCCGGAATCGGAATCTTCCATTTACCCTCCAGAAGCCGGGGTTGAAATCCGAGTCCAGGCTCCAAACCACCGGGCTCCGAACTAAGGAAAACCAGAAAGTTTGAGTTTTGGGGCTACTTTTGCTGCACCCAAGTCCTTCAACAGAACCATGCCTTCACAATGCCGCATTTGGGTATCACGGATACGTGTCTTTCCCAGGACCAAGTGTGGTGTGTGTCGGCTCGGTTTATTGAATTCAAGTATGGTGTAGGTATGCGTCAAACTAGCGGACAAAAATAGTTTCTCCTTGACTCCCTACTGCAATCCTAGGAATGGGGGGCAAAGCATGGTGGGAATGACAGGCTACTCACGTATGGCGTTTAGGCGCGATCCAATGAGCAGATTTGAGGGTTCTCAAGCGCTACGCTCCTACAAATTCACATTGGAAAGGCCCATAATTAGATCAATGTTCCTCTATTGTTTGAAGGCCATTTGGGAGTTTCTCAACCAGACCGCCGGGATGGTTTCAACGGGAAGCCAACAGAACGCAAGCCATACGGTCCTGGACCTTCAAAAGTACCTAAAATTTCTGCCTCCCCTGTCAATCGGCTGGTTTTTGGAATTCGTACCTTTTTCTTTGGGCTTGTCCTCTTTTTTGGACCTCGAGCAGTTTTTGGAGGCATGAGGGCTGTCAGGTCCTAATATATGACCTACTCGAGCAGAATGTGTGTGTGCAAAAACGCCCGCAACGGCCCGCAAAACGAGCGCAAAAACCCGCAAACGAGCGCAAATTTGAAAAGTGCTCATTTGAACATAAAAACCTCGGGCACTTTACCATTGCTCGGGCAGAAATTGAAGAACCGGGCACAAACTGTGTGTTCGAGCAGAAAAAAAGCGAGCAACAAAAGGTATTAATGGAAGGTCCAGGGTGGATGGATGAAATCCATTTCGCACCACTTTGAAGCTATGGGAAACCAGTGTTTGTTGGTATTCCTCTGCAAACCGGGTTTCTGAAAGGTGCGAGAAGCGGATTTGGTCCATCAGGGCCCCGCTTTCTGAGGTTGGGCTGGCGACGTTGCTGGCCTGGGCTTTCTGAGCTTCGAAACGCTGCCCTTCGCCGCGGCGCGAAAAACGGATGCCGAAGCGCGAGGGTGTGCATGGGTGTTTCTTGAAACTTGAGCGCCCCGGTAGGTGTCCTATTGCTTTCCCATTGAATCCATCCAAAAAGGGTCCCCACATTCGGAGACAGACCCCGCAAGAGATTGGCCGGCTTTCCCAAACAGGAGTGTATGGCTTGGCAGCCAACAAGGCTACAAGGGACCTTGGCTCCAACGGCTTGTCGGGGATTTCTATGTTGTTGGGACCCAAGAAAGATGGCAATCCACCTATCGCTGATGTCAAGGTGAGGGAAAGGGAGGCACGATTTTCACACCCTGCGTGGGCCACTGTGGCAACAAATCGGGGATCCCCAAATATGCCCAGTGCCTCAAATACACAAACACACGCCCAAACGCACGCCCGCACGCAAGTGCGCGCACGCACAGGCACCTGCACGCACACGCACACGCGCACACGCACACCCACACACACCCCCACACCTACACCCACACCCACACCCACACACACACACACACTCTCACACACACACACACACGCATCAAGTTTGGGATCGCTGCGACCAGCAAAGTCAAAGAGAGTGCGGAGGCAAGCTCATTTTGGTGCGAAAGACTGTGGGTGTGTCACAATCTTCGAGGCACGAATCAAAGCAAGGGGACCCCCCAAAATGGTTGGATTTCTTTTGGTGTCCCTTCAAACCAACCTCAAAAAAATACCCTCCAAGAACACACCCACACAGGTGAAAAGCCCGTCCCGAATTTGGAGAATCCATCAAATGCGATTGCAAGAATCGGAAGATCATATCGGCTGCAGTATCCCAAACCCATTGCAGAAAACGTGGGCTTGCATTTGGAGGTTCCAGCAACGAGCGGACCCCATTTTGCTGGTCTGAAAGAGAAGCAAGGCGACCAAGCATTTTACGGGTGCCCCATGTTTCGGAAGCACCCATTTGCATGCTTGCCGTGGATTCGCTCCGCCGGGTCAAAGGTATTGTAGGCACACAGCACAGATGGCTGCAGATTTCATGAGTATGCCGGAGAGAACATGCATTTGATCATCTATGTTGCCCGTTTCAAAAAGCGGAGTCGAAGCATCATCAGCACATCCTGTTAGACAGCAGCATAGAATATGTATATATATATATAATACATATACATACACACACACACCTAACCTACACATACAGAAGCCTTTTTCAAGAAAGAAGCACATGTGCAGGCAGATTCGGGCGGTAAATGCTGCTGTCACCCGTCCCAACCATAGGTACCCACAGGTATCATACACCTTGCCTCAAACACGGCACTTGTGCCAATCTTGGATTGCTCCATGCATGGTCCCTGAACCTTGCACAGCATGGAGGCACGGGCGTTTAATCCTACCAAGCACCATGGACTATTTCACAAATGGTTCACGCCGTTTGTCCAAACATCGGAGTGCCCTGAAAATGGTTTCACGGGATTTCCTTTACTGCAAAAGAGGGTCCTGAGTTTGAGGACGAGAGGCTTTCGCGAGCCACCTTTCTATAGAGGAGCTGATGCGTTTGCTTCCTTCTGGTTCTCAAGGAATCAAGAGAGGTGCAATGAACCATTTCTCCTTAAATGAAGCTACCAGGATTAGCAGAAGTGTAGGGGTCATTCCCCTGAGACTCCAAGTTGAACCATGACCAGAGCAGACTGGCTGGCCAGTTTGAGGCCTAACACTTGAACGGGGTCTTTTGGAAGCACTCGGATTTACAACTGAACCTGCAACAGGTGAGTTTGTGTTTCTTTGTGCAACAGTCCCACAGGGAAGGGAGGCGCATGTGGATATGTTTCAAGAATAGGGGGACCCGAAAGACAAAACACATGGCTCTGGCCTCCCCTAGACTGAGCATGGTACCCTAAAACTGAAAGACCCCGCCAGGTGCGCAGGTTACTGCTGCTTTGGCTGGCTGTGGCACAAGGCTCGGGGATCTCAGTGCTCTCAAAATGAGAAGATACTGACCAAACCCCAAGAGATACTGTGGATGGACGAAATCCTGCACCACTTGGAAACCATGAGAAACCATGGTTGGTTGCTATTTACAGGGGAATCAACATTCCAGGGTTTCTTAGCTGGTGCAGGATTTCGGGCATCCACAGTATGACAGACAAGCCTTTAGGGCTTATTTGCCCCTAGTTTGCTCTTACTGTTGGGTTTTCCGGAAGGGGTGTGATGAAAAAAAAACTAGTGGTACAACCTTTGAGGATATTCCCGTATCAACTGCGGGTGTCGCTACCAGGAATGCAAAGGCTTGCCGTTGTTAAACGTTCCTGCTCCGTGCCTGGTTTGCTTGTGGTGAGATTGCCAGAAAGCGTGAAAGCAGAGGCAGTTCAAGTCTCGGCAGTTTGGATTTTGATGGCTAGGCTAGCGTCTTGCAGTACTCACACTGCGCTTTTTGTTGTCGCGTGTCACAGCGCATTCAAAAATGGGCATCCTGTGCGGTGCCATGCTGAAAAGATGACCCAAAGCGCCTGCTTCCAGCGCTCTTTCGAGCGGCAGGTGGGTTCTTTGCTTGCCCTCAGTCATTGGGTGCTGAAACACGTCCGTCATAGCATGCCCAGATTCCAATTAACCAGTTTTTGTTGATAGTTTGACCTGCTGAGGAACTGAGATATGCGTCAATTACATGCATCATGGCTGCTCTATGCCTGAGGTGCTGAGAGACTACGGAGTGCTGGCCGATCGTTGCAGGCCAGAGCTCTTGCGTCGCCAGCCGAGTTATGGTCGATACTCCCTGATATTCAACTCAGGATGCGTATAGGGACAGCAACAATTACTCTTTTACCTCCCCTTAAGGGCAACTGTCATGGTGCCTTCAACCCAAAGGCAAGGAATGAAGGAAGGAATGCACTGGCCAATACCGGCGGGTGCGTCGAACATAGATGAAATTGTCACGCGCAAGCGACGGCGTGCTTTTGGTCCAGCGTCAGTTCAGACAGACAGTTTTTAGTTAGAGTGGTGAGAGCAACATAATCACTAGCAGTCCATCAACCAATAAGTCCTGTGCACATCCTTTCCTTTTGGAAAAGGAGCCGGTGCATTTTTATTGCTGTCGATGAGCTTGGTAGGTAGTATTGTCGTAGTCATCAAAAGATGTTTGGAAGGAACTTCCGTAGTTAAGGTGCTAAGTGAAGGCTAGCTGTGGCGTAAAAGTAGATGAGAACGGAAGGAGAACAGAAGAGAAAGATCGGAAGAAAGCAAGGCAAAGAGAAGAGAGGTGACAGGTGTTCAAATTCGTTGACAGATGCGGTGCTGCGCCTGCCACGATATTGTCACGTGACAGTTTGCGTGTCCGTGTAGATGGGGTTTGCGACCAATGCGTTCCAACCTTGCGAGAGTGTGGCGCCTGCCACACAAAATGTATACCGGATGCGGAAGTGCTGCACCTGTCACGAAATCCTTGCGGAAGTGCTGCGCCTGTCATGCAAACGCGAAGCTTGCGCATCCGTGCCAATGGACCCGGCGCCGAACCGTTCCGAGCCCATTTCAGACCCGTGAGAAACAGGCGTCGTGCCAGAGGTGGTTTGCGCTTCCCCGGAACACTCGAAACTTTCGCAAGGTTTGGTGCATATTTCGCGGCAGGCGCGGCACAGACAGGCAGGCAGGCAGGCAGGCAGGCAGGCAGGCAGGCAGGCAGACAGACAGACAGACAGACAGACAGACAGACAGACAGACAGACAGACAGACAGACAGACAGACAGACAGACAGACAGACAGACAGACACACAGACACACAGACACACAGACTGAGCGACAGACAGACGCACAGACAGATAGATAGATAGATAGATAGATAGATAGACAGAGGTAAGTTGAAATGTAGACAGCTTAGAAAGGTAGCTTGCTGGCCAGGTAGATAGATTGGTAGATAGAGAGCTAGATAGGTGGATAGGTGGGTAGGTGGATAGGCCGGTAGATAGCTAGACAGACAGATAGTTCGATATATAGTCGGACAGGTAGAGTCGTAGATAGCTAGACAGATAGATTTAGGTAGGTCGGTAACTAGGTAGGCAGGCAGGTAGGTAGGTAGGTAGGTGGATAGCAAGGAGAATAGATAGATAGTTAGATTGATAGGTGCATAGATAGATAGTGAAAAGCATACTTGGAGAGGAAGAAAGGAAGGAAGGAATATATCAAAAACGTTGACAAAGCGAAAGCAGAAAGAGACAGCGAGAGAGAGAGAGAGAGAGCGAGAGAAAGAAAGAACAACAGAAAGCAGGACATACATCGCTACAGAAAGCTGACAAACAGCAAGAAGAGACACAAGACAAGACTAACCAGTAAATCTATAGTCTATTTTGAACTTCCGCCTGTTGGCAAAGCGTTCACAATCACCACGACCCATCTCTTTTGCTTCCCGCATGTATACGAGACACATGGCCAGTTCTGCGTACGAAACAAAAAGACATGCCGTTTGCCAAATCGCCTTTGCTGCCCGCATGTGTAAAGCAAGCTGCAGGACCAGTTGTCGTAGGAACCGAAGACATGGCCGTTTGCCATCCGCGGTTCGACGGAACGAGAACAGTTAACCCGCTGCTGAATAGAGGAGTGAAGCTACGCCTTTGTAAACTGAACCATATGGACCCTGTGAGAGATGCCCCTTGGCCATTGCGGTGACCAGCTTTTCTCCAATATCCCAAGGTGAGACACGACCCATGCCCATGTGGCCGCCTCGGGCCCACGTCGCACAGGATGCCTCCGAGAATGACACAGTGCCAGTGCCTGAGCGGCTTCCTTATAGAGGAAATTCTAAGAACCGTGCTTGAAGGCGGTGGAATAGAACCACTAGTACCCCTCATCCAAAGGAACTATTGTGTTGAGGGGAACTATCATGGTTTGGACCCTCGAAGCAAATGCACAAGTGGCAGCCAGAAGCTCAAACTTGCCAAGTCAAGCAGAGGTGTTTCTTGCAAGCAGGGGCGGTCGGGGGAATGATCCTGAATGCTTCGTGTCCTGCGTGTGCTTCCTTGCAGTGGGCTGACAGAGGGAAGCCTGGCTTCCTCGACAGTACACCCGGTGACACAGTGTTTTCGAGAGTCGGAGTTTTCTGGAATTGGGTGTTTTGGAGCGTGTGCGAAGGGAAACCAAACCAAACGATACCATTTTTAGGACCTGCCCCATCACTGAATCACTGCACACACACACAAATACACAGACCAAAGGCACAATCACACACGCACACACACCTCAAGTTTGCACCCTGTGCAGGTCAGTGCCACCCACGGTTTGTGCGGCAAAGCCCGCTGTTAGCTTCGTCGATCAGCACCTTGCTAGAGAGGGGACGGGATTGAACCTTTTTCTCGTCAACAAGAGCCTTCAAACGACCTATGGGTCGTTTGCGCCCCCACCTGATGGGGACGCCTAGAACAAAATCTTGAGGTCCTTTTCAATTACCTTTTAAATTCGGAATTTAATTTTCATTTGGTTTAGTATTGCTGGAGCTTCCTTTTGAGATCTGGAACTGAGAATCCTATTGCTGGAGCGTCCTTTGGAGATTTAATGGGGGCCAGGCAACAAGACTTGATTGTAGGGCCCATGCAATAAATAAAGTCAAGTTGGGGGCCTGAACTACTTCCTTTGTGAGTTTGCGGGCAGTTGTTAAACCAGAGACATGTAGGAAACCATGAGTTTTGGGAAGGATTTTGGGAAGCAGGCCCTAGCCACAATGCCTGAAGCTTCACCAGCACCTGGGCTGCCTGCTTGCTGAAATCGTTAGCAAGTTGCATATTTTCAGCCAGGCAGCAAGACTTCATTGCAGGGGCTGAGATAAAAGTCTTGGGCTCAAAAGTGGGGGACTGAATTTCTACCCCCTTTTGTGCTTTTGTGGGTTTAATTGCGGGCAGTTGTTCAACAAAAGACAGGCAAGAACCAGGAAACTTGACATATGGGATTTAGGGGGCAGGGTGGGGGGCTGAAGAACAAGGTACCAAAGATCCAAGGACCAGGTGTTTCCATGGCCACCTCTCCTCTTCTCTCACTGTGTTTGTTTCTTATTGTTGTTCCTTAATCCAGGGTTGCTCATCTTTATTCCACGTGCTTGAACGAAATTGTTTGGGCCATCCGCCTGTCTTTTTCCAGATCCATTTACTAGGTTGGGAGTGGAAGAAATGAGTTGACGTGCCTTTCCAAAGAGCCCACAGAAGATTTGAATGGCCTGGTTCATTTATTCATTGCCCATCACCTGAGCATTTTCCCTACTTGCCCCTTGTTTCCTGGGGTGAATGCCCTGCTTCTCCTATCTGGGTAGATTTGCATTGATTTGAAGTTCGGAGTCGACGCTAAACGTACAGGCCGCCATGATTTCTCCAAACCACCCCTTAGAGATGTGCTTGGCAGCAGGGGCCGTGGGAACTGGAGGGATGTACATGACTTCAGGTTGTTTTCGGGTTCTTGTTGTTTGGACCAGACTCATTTCCAGAGTTCCTGGACTTGAAACTTTTTGGCAACTCAATTTTGGTGGTAAATTAACAGTGTTGTCCATTTTGGGCCAATCCACTGAGCGAGTGACACCATTACCTTTCAATGTATCCTGAGATGCCTCGGCCAAGGAAGCCGATGTGCCAGAATTGCGCGAGTATCACCATTGACGATCCCGTGAAGAGGCGCTGCCGACTTGAGTCTCGAAGTCCTTATGGCTCGGCTTTTGGAGAGTCACTTGTTTGTGTTGCCTTGGTTTAAAGACAAAACAACAAGAAGCACAAACAAAAATATGTGGGTACCCCGATTTTGAAACATACCCTTTTTGAGCCAAGAGTGATTCACTGCATTTAAAGTGCGGGAGGCAGTGGACGAACAATATGTGTTTTGTTTCCTACGAGTCCCAAAACAGGCAAAAGTCTTGAAAGTTACTGCAATCCCAAACAAAAATCTGACCACCTGAGCAACAATCGATCAACAATTTGAGCAGATGGCGTCATGAAACGCTGCCCCTGTGACACCTCGAGGCCAAGATGCAGCAATGCATCACTCACAGGATGCATGGGATAATCAGGTCTATGCTTGGCGAAGACTTCCATCCCTGGCTGCAGTTGACGAAGACGATGTTGCCTCAGCTTGATATTAGAGTGGCCAGTGCGTCCGTGTTTTTGGCACCTCAAGCAAATGAAAGCAGGCAAGTAAGAAACATATCAATTGTTGCAGAATGACCCCACCCAAAGACCCTCAGGAGTGTAAATTCCAGCCGCGAGAGGGAAGCAGGACAAAGCGGTTCTTGTTGTTTTGCCAGTGTTCAATATGGTGAATTATGAAAGTCAGTGTCAAGGCCATTCCCCAAATCAAAAACCAGGAGCTGACTCTGATAGTGGTAAACAACCGGCCCCAAACGCAGATTCCTCAAAGTCTCATTCAAGCGACAGGGACCCAGCAAACCAGCACAGCTCAGGTTCCAGACCTAGCCCGACTAAAAGCAGAGTTCCACATTCTGCCATGCCAGGTGCATGTTCAACACCTCCCAGTGTGAGAACGTGGGCCCTGGCCAGAGTTGCGAGATCGACTGCGCTTTGCCCTTCGTGCGGGTGGGGAATGTCACCACTGGCCAATGCGCGACGGGGAACAGCATTCCGCAGCTGGGCCGAGCAAGCCGAAGCACTGAGAGCGCAGAGTGAGTTCAAAAGGGAATGGCTCACTTGTGCAAGATTATTCCATTTACTTGCTCGTGCGATAGGCAGGGCATGAGAAGAGGAATGACCCCCACAAGCCATCCCCTATGGTTTCCTTTAAGTGAACCTCCGGCCACAGCTCACAGAACGCACCTGCGCCGCTTTCGATGCATCACCAAGTCTAAAATGTTAAAGTGAAGATATCCGAATCCAAGCCCTTTCTGCCTTTTCCAACTATGGATCCACACGAAAGCACCGACATAAACATGCTGGTGCTCAGCAGGGAATGAGGGAATGAATCTGTTCTAATATACAGTCTGACCGTGACACATGAGAGGCACAAGGTTCAACGTCACCCACCTCCCACTCAGGATAAGCCTTCTTGCAGCATAAGCATGAAAGAACATGCGCGAAATTTTTGAATGGGACAGCAGGCGTTTGAAGGACAAACTGCCATCATTGTTATGATACGGCCAAAACGTATGCGTTGCCCGCGACCGCCCGGAAGCGGGTCCCCGAGACCTCCAAAAAGCGTGGCAGGCGCAATAAAAACGCACTTCCGAGCCGCCCGGGCCCCACCCCAGCTTCATGCTCCATACCCCCTTCATGGAGCGCGGCGACTTTTCCTGGTTATATACTGTGCTGCTATCATCAACACAACCCTAAATCTAAACCAGAGAAGCCAGCCTCGGATGCACCGGGCAGTCAGCTCCAAGCAAACCTAAACCCTAGAAACCCTACACCTAAACCCTAAAACCCCTCAAAACCCTAAACCAAAACCCTAAAAACGTAAACCTAAACCCTAAAAACCTTAAACCTAAACCCTAAAATAACCCTAAAAACCCTGAAAACCCTAAACCTAAACCCTAAAATCCCTCAGCCTTAACCCTAACAACCCTAAACCTAAGCCCTAACAACCCTAAACCTAAACCCAAAAACATAAACCTAAACCCTAAAAACCTTAAACCTAAACCCTAACAGCCCTAAACCTAAACCCTAAGAACCCTGAACCTGCCAACACGATCATACCACATAGGAAGATCTTGTGGGCAACACGTATGTTTTGTGGGTTATGATACTATGTTGACTTGCTGGAGCACACGCAACATGATTTGAGCCGCCACATATCGCGGTGAATGGCAAGGGCGATCGGTCAGGGTCATCATCTTCACACATGCGTGCTTCAGCATTTCATTCGTGAAATCGGAATTGACTAACCACAGAACCAAGCGTCCTCTGTGAGGCCACAAAACTTGTTGCTGCGGACCCTGGCATCCCACTTGGGATATGTGCGTGGTCGGGTAAGTGGGACTCTTGAATCCTCCGCCCCAATCCTGATGTGAATTTTGTTGCCAACCTTGAGAGAAAGCATTTGTCTTTGTTTCCCACCCTTCCAATTTGATAGGGTCAAGTCTCACAGACTAGGTCCCCCAGAAGTGCCCTTTTACCATGTTTTTCTTTTTGGGGGGAGGGTTCCCCTATATTAAAATAGACTACAGAAAACATTGGGTACCCTTATTCGAAGCTCTCTGGAGGAAGCAGAGATCCAGGGGTCTGGTTTTTCCATTGAGAGCAGTGGGAGCGTGCACTAAGGGATCGGATGATCGTGTGGCAAGAGCCCATGTGCATTTGCCCAGAGCCTGCTTCGCAGCAGGGATATGTGAAGGACCTCGCCTGCATTCGATCGCGCGGAGATGGGTTTTCAGCCCCACAAGCCTGGCCCTTGCATGGCTGGGCCCGTTTGTTCCTTTTTTGGAGCTTGTTTTGGAATGTCTAGGGGAAATCAAAGGAAGCCCAACTTTTTCAGGGATCCCTTTTGAGCAGCAGATCTTTGAGTTCGCTTTGCTGTGGCCCTTCTTGCACTTTTTCTGAGTTGCCCTTCTTGGACCCTGGGAGTTAGCTGATGAATCAAGAGCAAGATGATCCATGGGGGAAAGAAACGCAGCACGCTGTGAGCGCCTGGGCAAAGAAAGTTTAGAGGATGAAGCGGCCCTAGTTCTTTACATTGGGTAGACTATGGGGAGGGAGGAAATGCGCGGCTGGGGCAACTGGGGTTATTTCCCTTGTAACCATGATCACCACCGCCACCTTAGGAATTCGAATTGGTCAGACCCGTGGGCATGATTTGCTTGCACCAAGCATATCTAAGCTGATGGTGTCACCTTCATGTTGTGACTGTGTGAGGTGGTCTGTCGTGTGCGCCACGAGGTTATGCTGCCACCTCCCGAATCCCTTAAAGGAATCCGGATGCGTTTGGGCCAGTCAACAAAATCACTTTCACCAGCTGATTCAGAGGATCCCCTTGGAAAGCAGGCGTTTTTTTTTTTTGACAGGAGCCTTCGGTCGACATCACTTTGGGTTCATGCCCAACCACTTTTGAGGTTCCAACTTCTGTAGCTCAGTTCGCCAAATAGACGGAGTCAAGGAAGCTCTAGTTGATCGGTTTGTTACTTTCATTGTCATGGCTTGCTTGACTTGCTGGTCATATGGCGAAGTGAATGCAAGAAGTTGGAACCTGAAGAGTGGTTGAGCTTGAAGCCAAACTTCCATCGTCTTAAGAATATGCTTTTCCCTGTTGGTTGTTTTAAAGGGAATCTATCACTGGGTATATGGTTTCTCATTTGTTTCTAGGGCGTATTCGAGCAAATGGAAGTGTTGCAGCCGCTTTCGGAGCGGGGAGGATCCCATTTCTGCCTCGCGTTTTTCAAGCAAAGTGTTTGCAGATCCCCTTGCAGGACTCCGGATTCGTTTTGAACCAGGCATCAGCTTCCAAGAAGCCTCACGTTTGCACCCCCAGGCGTCCCGTTCCTGGCATCGCCAGCCTCGGCAAGCCTCGGCCACTCGGCCACTCGGCCACTCGGCGCCTCGCTCGTCGCGAGGAGGGCAATGTCTGGCGCTGCTCCCAGGGCTTCGCGGGCACTCCGCAGGTGGTCTGCGAGCCGCTGCCAGGCCTTGCTCGGAGCGCTCGGATCGCTCGGATCGAGAGCGGGCGGAGCAGGCGGATCGGTCTGAACTCTGCACGGCGTTTTTCTTGGGTCAAGTTTCGGGCGAACACCAGTTTCTCCTCTCTTTTCTTTTTTATTTTTTATGTGCTCGGGTGATATCCCCAAAAGCACCACGCCCCTATCAGATGCGGAAGGTCTGAGCACGGATTGGATGCGACGTATGTGATCCTCGGATCCGCCCCGTGAATTCACGCAGCCCTGGCGGAGAGCCTATTTGGGCTGAGATCCATTCACTTTCAGCTGTTGGGGAAAAACAAGTTGTTCGGGCTTTGTAGGCTTTTCTTGCTTATTCATTCGGCCTTGTGTTTTTGTCCTTCACTGTGTTTTGATGTTGTTGTTTGATGTTTGTTGGTTCTGTTTATTCTTAGTGGGGGGCTGCAAAAAGTGTGCAAGCCTATATTGTTTGGCTTGTGAAGTTTGGATTGAACAGTCTTCCATTTGCTGAAATGATTCTTTTCCCTGGTTGGTTTTGAAGGGAATCTATCACTACTGGACCATCTTAGTGGTAAAGAACAAGTATGTTTTGCCCTATCCACTCAAGAAGTGTGATGTGTGTTGTTTTATCTTGGTTTTAAGTGGAACCGGTCACTGGAAGTACAAGGTTTGTTTTTTTCCCCCTGGGGGAAAACAAGTGCAAGTGGAAGAACACCTGTGTGGGCTGAAAGGGAAGTTAAGAAGACCTGGATGGGTTGAAACTGAAGCTTTGGAGATGGGTGTGGGATCTTTGGATGGTGCCCTTCTTTGGATGGGAAGCCGGCAATCTGAAAGGAAGCCGGCAAGGGGGCTTCATATCCTTTGACAAAGCTGCAGCTGAGTGACCCTAATTGTTTCAAACAAAGACTGGGGGCGCCATATGACTTAGAGTATAGATTGCAGTGATTAAAGGATCCTAAAAAAAGAGGGGAGCTGTATTTCCGGGGTACTGTAGAGGAGAATGGATCCAGGCTGTTCGAAGGCAGTCGTTAATTATCCCCTTGGTTTCGAAAGAAGGTTCCCTTTGCGGGTTTCCGGGATTATGGATTGATTCGGATTGGCCAAGCCTTCAAACTGGAAGGCGGGGGGTGCCCTAAACCAAGTGGGCAAGCTAGATTCTTGCTCACCGACTCGGGTGCAATCGAGGTTGCCCATGAAGGTTTTTTCCTGGGGGATTCCTTTTGTGAAGGCTTCGTTACTTGCATTTTTCCGTTTAGATGACTCCGCGTACCGGATCCAACGGGATGACTGGATCCCACGAGTTTCGCTTCACTAGTTGGCCTCCCATGTCCACCAGGCTGCTTCTAGAAGGCTTTAGAAGATGGATCGGGAGAGCAAATGTCCCGGCTAAGCAACTCATTGGTGAGGGACTTGGTTCACCCATGCAAATGACTTAGACTCTCTTTTTTGGCTGCTGTCCATCTGTTTACATAGTTTGTTGCACCCCGTTCTACTTGTTAAGGCCCCATTTCTTTGTTGCATCTTGCTGGATGCTAGGACTTTAACTTTTTGCCAACTAATGGGATTTCCATCAAACCACTAAAAGTTCAACTTTTAGCCGGGGAGCAGAAAGCAACCCTTTATTTTGTTTGGTGTTTTTGTTTGGTTTCTCTCTTCTTCTTCTTTTTTCTCGTCAAATCATTTAGGTCCCATTTTTGGCCACTATTTGTATCAAGCTCGTTTTTTTCCTCAGGCTGCCAGGGGGTGCAGAGCTTCCTGCAGGGCTGCGAGAAGTTGGTGCCCTGCGCCATGCCCTCCGTGGACAACTGCAGGCGGAGGGGGGGGGCTTGGGGGGGGGCTGGGGGGGCGGGGGTGTTGGGCGCCATGGGCTCGGTTTCTTCTTGGGGAGTTGGTACTCCTTTAAGACCCAGGAGGCTACCGCCATATGTTGTTTTGGGCGGGAGAAAGGGGGTAGGTGGTATTTCATATTGCCAAGCCTGGTTTCCAGTTACAATACGCGAGGGGGATGCGCGTGAATGGGCTTGCTATTGCCCCTTTCCCCGCATTCCGCATCATAGCATCCGAGCCACTACGGAAGCGTGACGGCGTGGGAGCAAGGCGAACGACCTGGCAGCGAGACAGGAACAACTGGCTTGACCCGCGCGCGCTCACTTTGTGTGGATGTGGCAAGAAGGTAGGTTTGGCTTGGTCGGACAGCGGTTCAACAGCTCCAGCATGAAAGGGCCGGTTCGACCTGATCAAAATGGAGCTTATGCCCGCTGATTGTACAGACCAGTCAGGCTCAGGCGAAGGATCCACTATATCCCCCCAAACCACCCCCATGAATTCCATTGGATATACAGCTACTTTGTAGCCATAATATTAAGCATTTTCAACATCCCCTCCATTTTCTTCTCTGCAACTCATGGTTTTCAGGTGTCCCGGATATTGGTTTGGGTTGGTCGGACAGAGGGAAGCTGAGGTCTCTTAGTGACGCTTCTCGCTAGGTTCGATGTGTCCCGATGCACCCAAGTGCCACCTGGAGGCTCTTGTGAGGCGCGGGCGGGCACAGACGACACCGACTCGGGTGGGCCAAAAAAGCTCGGGTTTGCTTGAAGGATCTATATTTATATCATATAATCAAATATTTGTTTTATAATGTAATAAACAACTATATTATCATTAGATTGTATTAGTCAAATTATATAGCAACTCCTATTCCGGGTTGAATATTCCTGGTGACCATGGCTCACTTTCCCATGCAAAGTGGTGGTGTTTTAAGGATCTATAGTATATAGCCATTCCTATTCTCAATCCAAAGCGAATCGACTGGATCTGACCTGTTGAGCCCCAAAAGGTTAACCCGTTATTTCCAGGTCCTTTGGGGTGATCAAATGTCCTGATGACCATAGGTAACTTTCCCATTTAGTCATTTATCTTTTGTGGTGGTTTCCCGAATGGTCAGCCCATCTAAGACCTTTTGATCAACCCCCATTTTGCGGCTTTTTCAATGCCGCTCGAGCCTGTCCTTTGACCTCCAGTTCACCTTTTGCACAGGTGGGTCATTTTTCGCCCGCGCTTCTTTTGGAGAAGCGATCAACAAAGTCACCGAAGGCTTCACCGGCTACCCCCTGACTTTTAGATGTGCAGCCCTGTTTAACTGAACATAAGGGATCTTGCCATGCAACATCCAGAGCGGCCAGACCGTCCAAGAAGTGTCCAGTTCCATTTCGAAAGATGCACCCAGAAATCGGGGCTATGTCGCTAGGTTGGTGCTAGCATCACATACTTGCTAGCCGCAGTTTCGCGCTTTGGAAACAAAGCAACGCGCACAAATCCGGGCTAGCTGACCAGGGGGCTAACAGCCCTCGCCAAGAGCGGACATTGTTCGTTTAGAGTCTTGGATTGTTTCCCGTTGCATGGTCTGCCAGCCGAAATGCCGGAAGACATGTTCTATGATTGGCACGCATGACTTCAATGGGGGCGGGCTAGACGCGTCACACACGTATTTTGCCCGAGACAATAGGCGGCAAGCAACACCCAAGACACGAGTTCATTGCGCTGCAAACATGATTCAAAATGGAGGAGGGCCATGCCAGGTTTCAGTTACATCCCGTGTCACCTTGGAAGCCATGGTATAGCACTAATTGAGCTTCATTCGGCGAAAAATCTTGAACTCGTGGTACAGTCAGTCCCAAAGGACGGGCACACCCGAAACAAAAAAGACTCGACTCAAACCCGCCGCCAGATTCACTGCCAGCAGCCCCTGACGGGGAACCATACGGTGGCAATTTGCAAGGACCGAAGACCCAACACACTCCAGGGTCTGCCTTTTTTCTCAGGCTACCGATCTTGGGCTTGCTTTCAAGGAAAGCCAACGGGAAAACCAAGGCCATATTTAGTGGCCTCTGTTTTTTTGATTTTAGAAAACTACTCATTGGTTTGCCAGGTCCGATCATGTTTGTTTCAGGTTCTGCCTTTGCTCTGCCAATTGTTTGTTTGAACCGCTACCTTTGTGTGGCAATGCGGATTTGTCTCCCTCAAAACAGACCATACTTCAGGAATGGATAGCTGTTGTGACAATGGATCACGCCTTGTGGTCTGCCATTCAAGCGACAAACTCA